TTTTGCTTTCCCTGTCATGCTCACTGTGGATCCCAAGGCATCCTCCCATAAACATCTTGGGGCCTCTCTGGCTGCCTCTTCCTTCTTCCCTTAGCTTCCTCAGAGCTTCCTGTCCTTCCCTTAGTCCCCTGATCCCCCCAGATGTCTTCCAGGTCCCTGCCCCCATTCCTGACCTCATGGCTTTTTTCCCCTTCTTACCATTCTGGAGCATTCCTCTGGCCTGTTCCACATCAGGAATAGCTATGTGCCTTGTTATTTCTTAAAGAAAGGATCCAGAGTGCTTTGGTATGACAGGTCCTTTTTGCCCCATGGGTTTTTTACTCCTTTGTCTCTCCAGTGACCCTGGATTGTCCCACACAGGATATCTGTTTTGTGGATGAAGGAGTGGGTACTTATAACCTTACCAGGACCACATTGGTGATCAGAAGTTTCCACCCTACCTCTCTAGCTGGAGCCACCTGCCACATAATTCCTTGCACAGAATCCCAGGCATCCACACCCACCCCATGAGCCCCACCTTCCCCTCCTGGCTCTCATCTCTTGTGGTCCTCTTGTGGTGTGGTTGAGAACTCTGTCTCTGGGGCCAACAGCTTCACCTCACACTAATTTTGTGACCTCAGGGCAGTAACTCCAATTTTCAGACCCCCTGCTTCCTCATCTGTAAAATGGGGTCTTTAATAGTACCTACCCCCCAGGTGATCATGAGATTGGCCTGCGGGCTTTTAGCCCAGTAACACTAACCTGATGTTGGCTGCTGTTAGTACTTGTTGTCTTCACCAGAAAAACACTTAACAAGGGCATGTGGCCATAGCGAGGCTGTCACAAAGATACCAGCTCCCAGGTCCCTTTCCAGTTGCTAGATCATGTAACTGCAACCTCAGATTGCCCCTTGAAGCAAGGTGAAGACTTCCTATAAATCGGCTTCTTCTTTTCATCCACTAAACACTCTGCTCTTTCTTTGTCTTTGTGGAAAAAAAAGTTCAGGGATGATTTAGAAATAGAAGCTCTGGATTCCCAGCCCACAGGGAAGCCCCTGGGCTGAATTTCAGACCTGGTTTTCCAGACCAGACCTGTGGATGCTATGAAAGTGCCTCCTCCAGGAGCCCCAGGCTGTGCTCAGTCTCTTGCCCAGGCAGGAGGAAGCAGTGCTTGCAGTGGTTGGCCCTGTGACCTACAGTGTGAGATTCAGTCAGTTCAGAAGCAGGACGGTTGCTGGCTGAGTGAGTAGCTTTGCTGGTGACTTATTTGTCCCTTGCTAGGGAGAAAACAAGGACTTCCAGGCTCAGAGAACACTTGTGAATCATCTTGGCTTTTGTCTTTGCTTGTCCTTGTCCTCACTTGAAGTGGTAGATTTGGCAGCAGGGTTTGGTGAGGTCCCTGAGCTCACCTGGGTCTGGACCAGAGTGAAATCTCAGTAAGAACCTGGAGTGGCGGAAGTGCCTTTAGTGAGGACAGGGAGCACGGAAATGCTCAGACACCCCCATTGCTCTGGGAAAAGATACAGGTGGCCATCTGGGGCCTTTTCTGCAGTGAATGGTTTTGCTTCCTTGTTTGGTTTGGTGGATTGTTGCGCAGGCCTCCTGGCTTCTGCCTACTTCCCACCCACCCCCACCACTGTAGCAGGAGTGTCCCTTTGATTCCAAGTCAGATCTCAGTCCTCCTGGTTCTCTGGGTAGGAGCCAGAGCTCTGGTCCCTGCTTCCCTTCTGTCTGCTTCTGCCCCATTGCCCTGGTGTGCATTCCCATCCAGGCAGGTTGGCCTACTTGCACACTCCTACCTCGGGGCCTTCTCACCGCTCGGAGTGTCCTTCCTTCACGTAGCCTCGTGCCTCACTCTTCCTTTTCCACACCCTTCCCTGACATCCATGCTGCATGCATACTTGTTTGGTAGTTTCTTGCCTGCCTTTGTATATGAGAGCAGGGTATTGTTCTCCTCACTGTTGTGTCCTTAGTCCCTAGAACCAGTGCCTGTATATTGCAGGTACTAAATACAGCAACTACTGGTTGAAAGAATGAATGAGCAAATCATTTTTTGGCAGCCCAGAGACTTTGGCCAGCTAGGTGAACTTAAATCTAGCTGTGGGCCCAGGAGTTCCCCTCTGGAAAATCAAGAAACTAGGACTTAGTGTTTCTTTTTCTTTTTCTTTTTTTTTTTTTTTAAGAGAGAGAGAGAGAGAATTTTTTAATATTTATTTTTTAGTTCTCGGCGGACACAACATCTTTGTTTGTATGTGGTGCTGAGGATCGAACCCGGGCCGCACGCATGCCAGGCGAGCGCGCTACCGCTTGAGCCACATCCCCAGCCCGGACTTAGTGTTTCTTGAAGGTTCTACAAGTCTCAGAGTTCAAATATTCTCCGTTCTCCAGAGAAGTCTGGTTGTGCATGAACTGGACGAGTTGCCATGTGGGTGACCCTGAGCTCCCGGCTGGTTCTTTTTGAGAATCAGATCTGGGAGCACTGAGATTTGTGGAGTAGAGCATGGGCCCCTAGGAGTTCTTGTCCTTGGCAGTCTCTGCTCCTCAGGGGAAAGGCCTCTGTGGAAGCCATAGCACCTGATGCTAGAGGCTTCATAAGCAGTGTGTAGATGCCCACAGGTTTGCTCCCGGCCTCTGTACTGGCTCCTGGCCTCTTGCCTGTTCTCAGGCCTCCAGCCTCTAGTCATTTCCAAATAGCTGCTTCCTACTCCATTAGTCCACTCTGTCTCTAGGAGGGAAAGCAGCATATGACAGTGATTAATATAGTATGGACCTCAAAGTCAGATCTGGCTTGAGTCCCCCCTCACCTCAGACAAGTTACCTAAGTTCTCTGAGCTTTAGTTTCCTCATCTATAAATTAAGAAGCATAATTTCAGAGGGTCTCTGTAAAGATGTTTGTTTGGTTGGTGCTAGGGATTGAACCTTAAGGGTACTCCGACTGAACTACATCCCCAACTCATTATTTTTTTTATTTTAAGACAATATCTTGCTAAATTGCTGAGACTGGCCTTGAACTTATGATCCCCCTGCCTCAGCCTCCTGGGTCATTGGGATTACAGGCATGTGCCACTGTACCTAGCTCTACTATAAAGATTTATGGCACATAGTAATTGTTAGTACTTAAGATATTATTAATAATAATTTATGAATTAAGGCCGTAAATGGCACATAAAATGCCATCGAAGAAGACAGCTATTTCTGACCTCTTGCCAGAGGGGAACACTATTCATTCATTTTTGGAAGATATATACTGAGCACCTTCTTGGTACCAGGTGCTGGCAGGGTGCTAGGGGATGTTAGGTGAACAGGGGATCACAGTCTGTCGTCTCATAGGGGATTGTGTCCCAGCAGGGAACAGGCAGTTAACACATCAGCAGACAATTAATATTTTTAATTTTATGCAAGAAATAAAGAGTATGGGAAGGGCTGCTTTATACAGAATTTGTCATGGATGGTCCTTCTGAGGAAGGAAGAGCATTCCAGAAAAAGGAACAGCAAATGCAAAAGCTCTTATGTAGGAAAGAGCCAGGTTTGTTTTAGGGGCTATCCTGAAGCAATTGTAACAGGATTCATGGGGGCAAGGAGAATTTCATGGAATGAGGCTGGAGAAACCTTCAGTAGGAACCTTCCTGAATTCAGTAGGGTCTGGACCATGCTTGGCCTATGAGGCTGTGGTAGGGAGTTTGGATTATATTCAAAATGTAACGACATGGTATAATCCCAGCAACTCAGGAGGCTGGGGCAGTAGGATCTCAAGTTCAAGGTGAGCCTCAGCAACTTAGCGAGACCCCGTTTTAAACTAAAAAGTAAAAAGGACAGGAATGTGGCTCAGTAATAAAGCACCCCTGGGTTTAATCCCAATACTACCAAAAAAAAAAAAAAAGGATGGAAGATGGGTCTGAGAGAGGGATGGGGGCCTGTGGTAGGCTGCCCACCTGCCTGGTAGAGGAGGACACATGTTCATCCAGCAGCCTCACAGGGCCTGAGCTTTCTTTTGGCTGTTCTCTGAGCCACCTAGGGTTAGGGGTCCTGGCACATTCCTGTGGAGTTATCATGCCTTAGGTGACCGTGGCCATGACTGACCGTGCTGTTGCCCCCAACCCTCTACTCATTCTGGTTTTAGCTTCGGTGTTTCTCCTTCAGGGGGCCTCATGGGCTAGGGACTCTTGTCATATTTATGGCCATTATTCCTGCTGCTTATTAAAAGTGTTGCCTGGCTCAAAGAAGAATATTTGGGGAGTGAGTGACAAGGTGAATGAATAAACAAACATGGCCATGGGTGGTTTATCGTGATAGTTCACTTAATTCTTAGTACTGCCTGGAGCCCTGTGTTTCAGAGGATCCTGAGGCTGCAGCTAAGCACTGGGGTTAAGAGTGCTAGGATATGAGCTTGGTACAGTGGCACAACTGTAGACTCAGCACCTACAATGGGGGCATCACTTGAGCCTAGCAAGGAGTTCAAGGCCAGCCTGGGCAATGCAGTGAGACCTTGTCTCAGTGTGTGTGGGGGGGAATGGCACTGGGATCTATTGATCACTTTGCCATGAGCTCAGCGGCGACCTACAAGGCTAGATAAGGGATGCTTATTATGGGCACTTATATGGGAGTGGCTGCACTCACCCAGAAGCTATGCCTCAGCCTCAGCTTTATTCAAAAATGTGATACCTAGTGCCCCAGCGAGTCCTTGGGGTATCTGCTGATCTCTCTCTCCATCTCTCTTTCTAGCTGCCCCTACCTGGCTCGCAAACTGACCCTGGCAATCCCCATCATCGCTGCCATCCTCTTCTTCTTCGTCATGAGCTGCCTGCTGCAAACAAGTTTCACCGACCCTGGGATCCTGCCCCGGGCCACTGTCTGTGAAGCAGCTGCCCTGGAGAAACAGATTGGTGAGGCTCATTTATACTCCCAGCTGAAGCTGTGTCTTTCCCAGTTCCAAGTTCCTGGACTTGGGAGGAGGCCCAATTTTTCTCTTCTAACACTTTGCTAGGAACTGGGTTACAGTAGTGAGCAAGGCAGGCCGGAGTGGACGCTGGAGTGGTTGGAGCCAGATGATAAACAAGCAAGAAATGCTAGCCAGGGCTGGGGATGTGGCTCAGTGGCAGAGCACTCGCCTGGCATGTGTGAGGCCCTGCATTCCATCCCCAGTACCAGACCAAAAAAAAAAAAGAAGAAAGAAATACTAGCTAAGCTGGGTATGGTAGTACACATCTGTAATGCCAGTGACTTGAGAGGCTGAAGCAGGAGGATCACATTCAAGGTCAGCCTCAGCAATTTAGTAAGGCCCTTAGCAAAATGCCATCTCAAAAATAAAAAATAAAAAGGGCTGGGGATATGGCTCAGTAGTTAATTGCCCCTGGGTTCAACTCCCAGTACCAAAAACAAATGAACAAACAATAACAAAAGAACTAGCCAAGAAAAGACTGTATTGGCAGTCAGCATGGCACTGAGTGCTAACTCAGGGTCAGGCACTATTTTAACCTTTTCATAGGCATGATCTTATTGAACCCATTAATTCTATGAAATGTACCATTGTTATTCTCTTTTTACTGATTGATTAAATTGAGGCACAGATAAAGTAAGTAAATAGTCCAGGATCACACAGTAAATGAAAGAGTTGCACTGAGACCCCAGGCAGTCTGGCTACAGCCCTCCTCTTAAACATTCATAAATAAGGGGCTGGGGATGTGGCTCAAGTGGTAGTGCGCTCGCCTGGCATGCGTGCGGCCCAGGTTTGATCCTCAGCACCACATACAAAACAAAGATGTTGTATCCGCCGATAACTAAAAAATAAATATTAAAATTCTCTTTCTCTCTCTCCTCTCTCACTCTCTCTTTAAAAAAAAAATTCATAAATAAATTCATTTATTCATCAAACATTTATTGAGCAACTGCTATGTGCTAGGCACTTTTCTAGATGCTGGTGATAGAGTAGCAGTGAACAAAACTAACATTAATCCTTGTCCTCATGGAGATGATATTCCAGGGGAGGAGAGAGACAGTAAACAAATAATTAAATGTCTAGGATTCAGACAGAAAGAGGAGGGAGAGAGGATGAGAGCTGCGGAAGGGCATAGGGTTTTAAACAATGTGGTTAGGGGAGGTCCTGTGAAGGAGGTGATATCTGAGCAGAGGCATGGGCCTGTAGAGATGAGGGCCTGGGGAAGGGACAGCAGAGGGACACAGTAGACATGGGCTTGGGCTGATTTAGATCGGGTGGTCAGGAGCCCTCTAAGAGATGGGCCCCATATGATGTGATAGAAGTACGAGGATCTTCAAACAGTAAAGGGAGAATCCCAGGATGGTGAACAAACTGGGTGGATGTGAGGGACAGCAGGTGCCTTGTGTGGCCCTTGACTCCTTTTAGCCTGCTGTGCAAGTTCCCCTGGACCGCTAGGCTCTGGGGACAGGGCCTTAATCTCAGCTTGCTCCACCCTAGCGCCTTCCTGTCGAGAAGTGACGTGGGTGTTTGCACACCTCGGGGGTTTCCGGTTGATGGCTGGTTCCTTCCCCTGACAGGCTTTTAAATGCCCAGCTGGCCCTGAAGAGATCTAGTGGCCTGTAAATGTCAGAGCCCTGCTGTGTCCATCACTGGAAGTAATTTCACTAATTCTCCGGAACAGCTTGGGAGGGACCAGCGGGGTGCTGTCTCCAGTTTTGTGGGTTCTGTCTCATTCCTTCGCCAAGCCTGTTCACAGCCACACCCAGGGCCGCTGCCTGACTGTCGTCTCCATCCAGCTTCCTTCCCTTTGTACCCCCGGCCACTGGCCACACGGCCTCCCAGGTGCAGCCTCTTTAGTATCACTGGGTCTGACCTGGGCTGGTGCACCTGGCAGCCAAGGACGCCCAGCACCTGGTTTCTCCTCCCCTGCAGGTCAGGGCTAATCATAAGGCAGGATTATGGTCCTGCTCAGCCAGACTCTGAGATCTGGCAGCCTGGAATCCTCTGACCTCTTGTGAGCTACTTGGGTGATAATGACAACAGTAATCCCCATGTTTGGGGAGAGCGTGACCATTTGCTCAGTGCCTTCCCTCCATTATCCCCACAGTTCTTCACAACATCCGATGATGAAGGCGATGCTGTAGGCCTCACAGACACTGAGTTGGTGGTCACAAGGCGTAGGGTGAAGGAACAGAGATGGAGTGTGTCCTCACCCCCAAACCCTTTGCTTTGTCTTCTGACGTGGCCGTGGGGACACAGTCCCTCTGTCCTTCTGTCTGCACTCTGGGACCTACCTGAGCCAGGCCATCCATGACTTTCCCGTGTGCATTCTCCTTTCTTTTCTCCCCTGTGCTGCGAGGTTGTCATTATGGAGTTGCCCTGGCTGTGAGATACACAAGTATCTTGTTCACCTTGTCATGTGGAAGGGTCAGTGATGGAGGCTGACAGGATGGATGAACCACTAAGAATGAACCTCCGTGAAGATGCTCCCTGCTGCCCATGGGGCTGTCAAGAGACGGTTGGCATGTCCCATGGAGGCACTGTGGGTTCGTGCCTTTGTGTGTGAGTTCCTGTGCTGCCTCCTTACCGCAGAGGGGCGAGGAGTCTGAGTGGTTTCTGGTCTAGGTCAGCACACTGTGGAAGGCCTGCCCACCACAGGCCAGGCCAGGCCAGGCTTTGGGAGAGGATTGCAGGGACTGGAAGTGTCTTCCACATGAAAGACTTGGAGAGGCTTCCTAGAGAGGTGACAGTTGAGTCAAGCCATGAAGTTTGGGTGGGATTCAAGCACAGGAAGACGGAAGGGCGGGGCCAGGAAGATGGAATAGAGAGAGGACAGGAGTGGGAAGGAGGAGGGACAGGCCTGGGGCTGCTGAGCAGGCCGAGTTGACTGGAGCACGCGGAACACCACAGCAAGGAAGGGGACAGTGGATCACCCTCACAGGGCCAGAGATTTCTTTTGAGATCAGTCGCCAAGTCTTAAAGCGACATCTTTGGGACCTTTGAATCCTTAAGCTAGAACTGAAGCCAGATTTTGGGGTGTGGCCAGGAGGCTTCTGATCAAAGTGGAAATGTTTTCTTGGTAAGGACTAAGTCTGTGGGACTTTTCTAAGAGGGTGAAGGTCTACTCTGAGGTGGTGGTCATAGAAACACGCACTGATTCCTGGTCCTAGGCTCATGCAGACAGTGCAGACTTCTCCTTTCACCCTCTCCCAAACTGGAGATTGAATTTGGGGGCCCTTTACCCCTGAGCTACTCTCCAGCTCCCCCCACCCCTTTTAAATTTTTTTTTTCAGTTGTCAATGAACCTTTATTTTATTTATTTATATGTGGTGCTGAGAATCAAACCCAGGGCCTCACATATGCCAGGCAAGTGCTCTACCACTGAGCCGCAACTCCAGCCCCTCCAGCCCATTTTTATTTACTTTTTTGGTTTTTTTTTTGCAGTACTGGGACTTGAACTCAAGGGCACTCCATGACTGAGCTACATTGCCAGCCCTTTTTACATTTTATTTCAAGATGGGATCTCGCTAAGTTGCTTAGGGCCTTGTTAAGGGCCTCAACTGAGGCTGGTTGGTCTCCAACTTCCTGCCTCAGTCTCCCAAATTGCTGGATTACAGGTGTGCACCACTGTGCCTTGCAATAATATAAGGTGTTTTCCTAGGGGTGTTTAACCACTGAGCCATGCCCCCAGCCTTTTTTTTTTTTTTTAATTTTGAGACAGGGGACAGGGCCTCACTAAGTTGCTGAGGGCCTCACTAAGTTGCTGAGGTTTGCTTTGAATTTGGGATCCTCGGGGCTGGGGATGTGGCTCAAGTGCTAGCGCGCTTGCCTGGCATGCGTGCGGCCCAGGTTCGATCCTCAGCACCACATACAAACAAAGGTGTTGTGTCCGCCGATACTTGAAAAATAAATATTAAAAAATTCTCTCTCTCTCTTTAAAAAAAAAACACACCAGGTTAAGAGGCCCACAAACTGACCTGGTGATAGGCAACCATAGGGATTATGATTGACTTTTTTAAAAATAAAAAGAATTTGGGATCCTCTGCCTAGCCTCCTGAGCCATAGGAATTACAGGTGTGTGCTACCATGTCCAGTTAGTATAAGGTTCTTAATTCTGCCCCAGAGGCCAGGAGCTTCAGTCCTGTAGATGTCCAAGGTGCCTGTCCAGCAGGGTGACCAGCTCCTTCCAGTTTTCCTAGGACTGCTGTGTCCTAGCACCAGAGGTCTAAATCATCCCAGGCAAACCAGGGCAGCTGGTCACCCTAATCTGAGATCGGGACTTGTCACCTGGTGCCCATGTAGCTGGATCAGCCTGCGGGCTCTGGGCAGTTGGAAGAGGTAGAGTGTGGGAATAATACTCCTGAGAAGCTTCTGATCTGATGAGAAATAACAGAGACATCTGCGTTTGAGGGACAGATGCACACCTAGACCCAGCTAGACCCAGGTGCACTCATGGGACAGATGCAGTCTTTCCCGTGTGCTCCTCCTATGTGCCAGCTCACAGACCATCCGGTCCTTCTCTCCACCGGGTCCTGAGGGCCGCTTCCTGGGGCAGACCCGCCTCACCTTCCTCCTGGCTTGACTCAGGCTCTGCTGGCCAGGCCCCCAATCCTGGTCTTCAGTTGCAGTTGTTTCTCCGAGACCCAAATCTGTCCCTGGTCCTCCTAGACTGGGAACTCGGGTGATTCCCGGAGCCCTCGGTGCTGTTTCCATCTGTCATGAAGTTCATGTCTCTTGCCCTTCCCATATCCATATGTACCTTCATTTCCCTGGTATTTTCCTTTAAATATAATCACTGCATTCTGTCATTTTGGCCAATGACATACTCCATAAAGGACTGTAGTCCCATAAGATCCTATCACCTAGTGGCATCATAGTCCTCTTTGTTTGTGTAAGTACACGCTAGTGTTCACACAACGAGGAAATCACACCTAGTGATCAATGACA